TAATATATTTCGAGGAAAAAAGACTATATTTATTATAAATAGCTTATAATTCTTTTATTAATTCTTTATTACTAAAAAGTATTATAATTACTTTATAATAATTAGCTATAAAGAACTAGAATAATTAAATATTATTTTAATAAGTTTCTATAACTTAATCTAATATATATAATACTTTATAAATAAATAGCTATAAATATATATTTATTTTATATAAAACTTTATTAATAATAATATTATTTTCTTAAATATAATAAAATAATATATTTATTATTTAGAAATTATTCTTTAATTATTTTTTAAACTTTAATTTTTTCTTTTTATAAAAAAGTTATTTATTAAATATATCTTAATAAAATTACTTAGTTATTTTATTAATATTCTAAATATATTAATAACCGAGAATAAAATTATAGTATTTAAGAATATTAAGTTCCTAATAATCTTAAAAATATTAGAGATATATATTAATATAACTAAATAGCTATAATTATATTTACTAAGCTATATTTAGGTTATTAAACTAATATAATAATAAAAAATAATATTATTTAAAATAGAAAAAAAAGTATTATAGCTATATTATTAAAATTATTTATATATTTATATTTATAAAAGAAAAAGCCTTTAAAGCTTTTTAAGAAATATTAATAAAGCCAAGATTCCTAATATACTTTTTTCTAGAAAAGATCTTATTTCTTAATCTAGATATTTTAATAAAATAAGGCTTTATAATTATAGTTTTCTATTTTATATTAGGTATTTAATTAATAGAAATAATTACTATGCTATTAGCTAAATATATATAACTAGTAATATTTATAAATAAGTTACTAAATATTATAAAAAAATATTATTATATTACTAAACTAGAAGTTATAGGACTAGTATAGGCCTATTAGAAGCTCTATTTAATAATCTAATTTAATAATTATTTCGTTATTATTTTTACTAATTATATATTAATAAAAGATATATATAAATAAATAAATTTAAATACTTCTAATATTTCTAAAGCAAATATAAGACTAGTATATATCTTTATTTACTTATCTTAATTTAATTTAGATATTAGATATTACTTAAATAGGCTAAATATTATTCTGGATATATTCTTATAATTAAAAACTATAGAATAATAAAATATCTTAGTAAATAATAAACTAGAATATATTTTATTTATAATAGAAACTATTATATATTCTAATTTTAAAATAAAATTAATTAAAGAATTATGAATTAACCTAAAGTTTATATATATATTTTAATTCCTAAATATTCTAGAAAAATATTCTTTCCCGAAATAAGTAAAGAAAAATAATATAATATTTTATATTAAAAATAAATTTTTATATTATATTATTAGTACTTGCCTTTATTTATATATTTCTAATATAATTACTAATAAAGTAATTAGTATAGCCTATAATTATTTCTATTTTAATATAGAAAGAATATTTTATAAACTAAATAAATTCTATATTTCTTAGCTTAAAAAATAATTTAAAGAATATATTTTTTATTATCTTATATATTTACTTAATTAAATATTTAGGAAATATTTATATAATAAATTATAACTAATTAAAATAATCTTAGTTTTATATTATATTATTATTATAGATTTTATAATAGTATTACTAATAATTCTAGTAATTAGCTTATAGAAAATTAATAAATATAACTTTTTTAATTATATAATAATATAATCTTATAAAATAAATAAGAAAATATTATTTATTCTAGAATATAATATATATTTAGCTAAAAACTAGGCTATAATTTATATAATTCTTTAGCTATTATTTAATTAGGGTATTTTATAAGAAATAATTTCTAATAGAAATTATAAATTTATTTCTAATTTCTAAAAAGATATATTTTATTACTTAAAAATAAAACTTCTTATATTAATAATATAATATTTATAAATAAATAATACTTCTAAAAAAAACTAGATTATAGAAATTAGTTTATAATATATATATATTTTTTTATTTAGACTAATTTTAGTTTATAGAAATTATTTCCTTTTAATTAGCCCTAAATAATACCTAAATAGCTATAATTCAAATATTATTAAACGAGTTTATTAGAAGCTTTTATTTAATTATAAACTTATTTCTTCTAATAAGTAATATTAAGAATAAATTACTTAATATAATTCGGAAATTATAATAATATAATATATAAATTATTATAAACTTTATTAATAATATTATTAAATAATACTATAATATAAAATATAAGCTAATTATAATAGATATTAGAGATTTTATTTACCTGAAATTATATAAAAAATATTATTTTCCGGGTTACTTAAATAGAAAACTAATAAAATAATAAATAGAATCTTTTAAAATATTTTATTAGATTAAAAAATTAGTATATAAATTAGAATTCTCTTAATAATAAAAGATATATCTTATAATTTCTATTATTTATTTCGAACTTATACTAAGAAATAAAAACTTATATAAACGAGAATTAATCTAAGAAAAAGAACTAGTAAAAAATATTTAGAATAATAATAAGAACTAGTAAAATTAGGAGCTTGAATATATTATAAATAAAAGAATAATAAAATATAATAGACAAAATTATATTAAGTATTTAGTAAAATATATAAGATAAAGAAATAAATATAATAACTAATAGCTAATAAAGATTCTTAATAATATATTAGAACTAGTAATAGATTATAAAAAGTAATTAGAAATAATTCTTATAAAGAAATATAATTAGCTAATAATAAATACTAAATAATAATTATTATTATTAAATATATATATAAGAAGTATTATTATATTTCTATAATTATATATTAGTATAAACTAGAATATTTATTTTTCTTATAACTAAAAAAGTATTTCCTTAATATTAAATAATATAAAATATATATAACTATAGTAGTTATTATAATTATTATATTATTATATAGAAAAATATTATATAACTTACTATTATTATTACTATAGTATTTCCTATACTAACTAAAGGTATTCTATTATTATAACTAGTATATTACTAAGTATATAAGAAGCTAGAGAAAAATAATACTTCTATTAATAAGAACTTTAAGAATTTCTTTAATATTATTAGTAATTCCGAAAACTATTTAAGAATTTAGATATTACTAAATAAATACCTAAAAAAATAAAATACTTTTATAATATATATTAAGAAAATATATAAATTTATTCTTAAGGTAATTAAGCTAATATATAATAAAATAATAATAATAATAATAATATTCTTATTCTAATTAAATATTATTCTAGTAAATTACCTAAAAAAATTTATAAATAAAAGCTATATTCTATTTCTTTTAAAAATCCCGAGAAAAACAAATATAATAATATAGATAAGAATATTAATAATAAAAACTCTAGAAAAAAGCATAAAATTAATATCTTTATTAATAATAACTAAGATATTCTTATAATTATATTACTAAAAACTCTAAAAACTATTTCTAAAATAAAGAAGCTAAGTCTAATAAAGATAGTTATATATTACGAAAAAATAATCCGAACTAATATAAATATAATTCTGCTTATAATTATATTATTTAATAATATAAAGCTATTAGTTAAGATTATTTAAGAAAAATATAATCTAAAAGAAAATAATATTAAAGTTCCTCTAATTTATAATTACTTATTATTTACTTTTAATAATATTAAAATAGAAGAAATTCAAAAATAGTTTTTAATATAAATAGGCAAGAAATATTCCCAAATCTAGTCTAATTTAACTAGCTTTAAAAATCGTATTAGCCTTTAATATATAATATTAAAGGCTAGTAATAATATATTTATATTACTACTAAAACTAAAAAAAAGTAAAAAGAAAATATTTATAAAAAAAACTATAAAAAATAAAATTACTAAACTTATTCAAAAATAATAATTTAAAGTCTTACTAGAATAGCCCTGCCTTAATAATAAGAGATTTAAAAATAAGAGCAAAGAGAAAAAGAACTAGCCTATAGGCTATACTCTTAATAATAATAGTTTATTTAAGAAGAAATTAATAAATAAAAAGTAAAATAGTAAAAAATAGAAAAAAATAAACTTTATAATATAATATTTACTATAATACTAATTCTATAATATAATATTTATTACTTTAGGTATTTAATAATATATTAATAATAATTTTATTAGCTAAAATTATTAATAAAAACTTTAATAAGAATACTAATAACTTTCTTATTAATTAAGTTTATTAATAAGCTATTAATAAAATATTTAATAATATAGCTAAGATTTATTAGTTAGTCTTATATTTATAATTTTAACTAGCTATAAAATTAGAAGTCTAAATAAATGTCTTTTTATAATATTTATTTAGATCTAAAAAAAAACTTTCTTAAATTTCTTTTTATAAAAGTATAATTTAAAAGTAAAACAAACTATAATAGAAAAAAATATAGCTTATATCTTATTTATATTCTTATAGAAGCAAAGTATTAATTTATAAAATAAATAAAGCCCTAAAAATTTATAACTAATAAATTATTATATAATATTTAAAAATTAAAATAAGTAAATAATAATTTAAACTTAGGCTAGGCTTATTACTAAGAAAAGAATATTTAATATATATTTAAATTCTGTTTTATTTAATTAGAACTTTAATTATAATTAATTAAAATAATAATAAAATTAATTAAAGAAATAATAAAAGTAAGAGAAAGGTAAATATAAGAGATAAGGAATTTTAATAAGATAAATTCACTTAAATTATAATAACTATCTCTAAGCTTATTAGCCGAAATTCTCTATATAGGCCTTTCTTATTAAAAACTTGTCAAAAATCCTAACTCTAATATGATATTTGCCCTTCTAGTCTGTGGCGTTTGATTTCTGATCCTTGCTTTGCCAGAAGCACCGACGTTTCGTCTTCGTGCGACTCCTTTCCCACTTCCTCTATTTACAAGTGGCCGTATCAACTGGAGCTCTACAGCACCACATCTCGAGTTCATCAATAGCACAATGGATCTCTGCAATCTATGTCAAGAATTCGACATTCGGCAGCTCCTCTGCCAATCCGCAGCGCAAAAGCCCGATGCCACAGGCAACACAGATCGGAACTTGGTTGATTCGAACGATTATCGTGCGCCGATGCCAGATTTCTACAAGCATCGCGAGGGGATTGTCGCACTCAAAAGATTTGGAGACCAAGGCTGTCAATTGTGCAGTCTGTTTTGGAGTACCTGGGTGAAGACTTTGAACAAGGACAATATCACCGAAGAATTTCTTGAGAAATACTTCCCAGGGCAACTGTATATCGGATGCAGTAGCTGGACAATATCTAGACAGGGCTTCCCGTATGTTACGCTCACACAACAATCCCCAACAGGCAGCAGTCGAACACTATGCTCTTTCGAAGCATTCGCAGGTCGAGGCAGGTGTTACATCAATTCTGTCCTGAGCTCACAGACTAATTTCTCACAGATGATGTCCCAGCCGAGGGACGATCTCTCTTAGGCAGAGCCGTGTATTCAGATTCAGCATCCAAGGCATGTATATCGGTAGCTGAAGAATGGCTTCAAACATGCTTCCATGAGCACAAAGAGTGCAGCCCGCTATCTGAGCATGCAAGTCCGTTGCCTACTCGAGTCATCGATGTCGGTGGTGAGAACTCCAATCCGAGGCTTGTGACAAGCAACGGCAAGATTGAACCTTGGATTGCGCTCAGCTACTGTTGGGGAGGAGATTCGGAGTTTGTGTTCAATGACGGAACAATGCATGACCTGCAGAGCGGCATCCCACTGGATGACTTTCCTGCTACTCTTCGAGATGCTGTGATCATCACTCGGTCTCTTGGAATCAAATATGTTTGGATCGATGCGTTGTGCATCAAGCAAGACTCTGCAGAAGACTGGGCAAGAGAAGCTGCCAAGATGCGAGATGTCTACAGCGGTGCCATCCTCACTGTTGTAGCTGCAAATTCGCCTTCAACGCGCAGTGGTTTTTTCTCGCAGCGAATATCCGGTGAGCGCGCTACGTTGGAATGGAGGGACTCGACCCATTCGCGAACACACAAGGTGCATTTGCGTCCTGGTTCCGAATTATGGGATCATGCACTGTCGTCAAGTCCTCTCATGACCCGCGGATGGGCGTTGCAGGAAGGTTTGTTGTCACCACGGACTGTCTCATATGGTGCGCAGCAGATGATCTGGGAATGTCCATGCTTCCAAGATGATGAGGGCGGGAGAATCACTCAAGCAACTGAGGACTATCGTTCGAAGGGATTCATTCAAAATCTCATTCGAATCCAGAACACAGAGGATATCAAACCCCACTCGCTTCTTGAGAAGCTCACGCTGCGATCCAGCAAGCCAGAGAAATGGTGGAAGTCGTATGCCGTTGCAGATCCGTACGACAAATGGAATGATATCGCCGAGCAGTTCATGTGCCGTTCTCTCACGAAAGATTTCGATGCTTTGCCGGCTTTGCCAGGTCTCGCCAGGGTGTTCCAGCACCTTCTGAAAGATGAATACTGTGCTGGACTTTGGAAAAAAGATATCTTGAGCACTTTGACGTGGAACAGGTCACCAAGATATCCAGCTGATTCGTCAACTCGCTTCGACCTCGCTCGGCCTTCGGAATATCTCGCACCTTCGTGGAGTTGGACAAGCATTCTGGGAAAGCAGTCAAGTATGAGCAATAGCTGGCAGACACGGGAGGCTCTTCAAGTATCTGCTCACAGTGTAACCAAGATTGTCAGCTTGCCGACGTTTCCTAAAGGTGCTGACCCGTTTGGACAAGTCAGTGGAGGAGAACTAGTGCTGCAAACTCGATTTGGGAAGATCGAACATCTACCTCCCGTGTATTCGACAGAGCATGAGTTCCACAATGAGACGCCGAAATCAGTCACTGGCTCTGCTTTCCAAGAGCTGGTGTACACGAACATGCGCGTGGTTGACAGCATGGTTTATGAGCATTTTCAGAAACATTCACCTTGTCCAAAACAGGAATTTGGGGCAGTGGAACTTGTACGTTGGGAAAAGGCGCCAGGGAGCCTTGTTCCGGGTATCGATCTCTTGTTGGTAGAGTCGACAGGTCAGGGTGGCGCTTATCGTCGCATTGCGCAATTGGGTTTGAGAAAGTCTCCAGTGCCGGATGAAGATGCTGTTGGCGCTGATATGTATCGTGGAACCCTGCTGGAGAATAACGCATACGATGAGGTTATCAAGGCTAAGTGGAAGAAGAGGGCTATCACGCTCGTCTAGGGCATTGGATCGGCGTGTTCTGCGCTGAGTTTTGGCTTCTGAGCTTCCCTTTTCAACATCTTGGTGGAAGCATTCGCTTTCGCCAGCAATCACTGCCGCGGAAGGAACTGAGGCAGGGGAAACTTACTTTTTATAATATTTAATAAGAATACTTATTATTTTATAATATAATAAGCTTTCAATAATTCTTTTAAAATTTTATATTATATAATATTATAAAATATAAAAATTATAAAAGTATTCTAATATTATTATAGTCTAAAAAGATACATTAATATTTTATATAATTTTAACTTTTAAAAGATAACTATAATTTAGAGATTTAAGAATTGAAAATTAAAAAATACTTAATTTAGGAGTTTTAAATTAATAAATATATAAATATATATATAAAGTTATTAGTTTTTCTTAACTTAGTTATATAATATAGTCTTATATATATTAAAATATTAATATTAATCTTATAAATCCTTTTAATAATTAATAATAATTAAAAGAATTTATATATTAAAAAATATAATTATTAAATAAAGCTATAATGTAAATATTATTTAAAAAATAGTTAATAATAAGATTTTATATATAATATAAACTTAAAATAATAAAGATATTATATATATTTATAAATAACTTAAAATCTTATTAAATTTTATATTATAGTAAATAATAGAAATTTTAAAAGATTAAAGAATTATATATAAAGGCTTTTTTAATAAAAAGTATAGTTATAAATTACTTTTCAATATATAATATTTATAAAATAGTTAATAAGTTTATTTATAAATAATAAAAATTTAATTTTTTTTAATTTAAACTTAAATTTTAATAATAAATAATGCTTTTTATTAAAAACTCTTTATATATTATAACTAATATTATTAAATAAAGCACAGTTTAAATAATTATATAATATTTTATCTATTTATTATAAAACTATATTAAAAACTTATAATTTTATAAAAAATTAATATAATAATAATAACTTTTTAGTTATAAGAAGATTATTCTTATTATTTTAATTTACTCGATTATATCTATAGTCTCTATATTTTAAAAATGAAGTTAAAAGAATTTGTAGTTATTTAATTATTGAGATTTTGAAATATTGCTAGAGCGACGTGTTTTGTTGCGGGGCTTCGGTTACCTCAGGCACTCAGGCGATAATCTAAGAGAAGTCTAGCGCTTTAGGATAAATGTACTTCCGCTCCGAGATCATGTTTAATCGTGTATCCGGTGAGCCGCAGGCAGATGGATAGAGAATCCCCAACCGAGGGATCGTATCGGGAGAATGTTGGGATGGCGACGAAGCGCATTGGGGGGGACATTCGCGGGAAGGGAGCTCACCTAGGAGAGGGGTGGAGAGAAGCTGGAACACTGACCCCGCCGAGGGTAGATTTCAGGGGATGGTCACCTCGCTCAACCTCATGGAGGACGTGCCGCCGTAGAAAAGACGGATCTCCTGTCTCGTGGAACTCCTGGAGGCAATCCCTATGGTCCAGCCGTAACTGGAGGATGCTGCCTTGGGGAGACCCCGCGGGATGAGAAGGCGGGTTAGGATGGTGGATTCTAGGGCCGGGGTATCGGTGGACGCTGGTATCCGGATCATTCGAAAAGCCAACTTCTCTGTCAGATGATCGAGGACGGAGCTTTCTTCGACTGACTCTCGGGCGGGTAGTAGACGGATTTGCAGGTGGTGCTGGATAGTACCCCCACGGATGGGATGTGGGCTGTATATGGAGCGGTGACTATTCTGTCCGCGGGCGCTACCGGAGCCTTCAGACGGGCGTTGACGGTTCAATTCTTAGTCATGGCTAGTAGTAGTGAAAGCCTGGAAGTATCGATAGAATTGCGGGAGGATATCACCCTGTCTGTCTGCAAGAGACCTTCAATATATAGCTAGTTATCGGCGATATAGATAGAAAAATTTGAACTCCTACCCCATGAGAACCCTAAGCATTAACTTAGCAGGGCCAAGATACATTCGGATATACTTACAATATCAGAGTAATATTTAGCGTAAGAGCGTGTGTGGCAAATCCCATTCTGCGTCAAGAATTGTTGATTGTGTTGTCGAGATGTTTGTTGGTTGATTTTTGGTTACCCACCACAACTGTTGGAACTAGGTGTACGCTGGTACACGGTAGTTTATATACTGGATGTAGAGTGCTTACCCCGCGTGAGCTGAGAAATCAAGTCGTCAACCTCCAAAACATTGCAACAAGCTGCATTGCGCTGCGATCTCGCGATGACCCCTGACCACTGAAACCAATCAGGGGAGAAGAGCAAGAAATCCAAGCAAGTCAACTACATTTTGCCACGAATTCTTGCAAAAGGCATGGTACTTCTATTTCAATATGAAACTAAAGAATAAGCACTAACAAATTACATATAAGTCATGTTCCATGCACCTTTCAACTGTGCACTCGGTATAACATCAACAGGCAATGTGTTGGCTCCACACACCGTCATTGCAAGTGGCGCTTTTCTCAGAAAACTTTCCAGAATGTTCCTATCCACTAGATCGATGAACTCTGGTTTGAAGTGTACGAAGAAGTCTTTGTGTTGCCTCAGGAATTCTATAAGCAAATCTTGTAGGCGCTCTTCCTGGAGCATATAGAAGAACCATTCGTATATCACATCCGCCTTGGCAGGAAGTCGGTTATATGCTGCTTCTATTATAGGGTTTGTTATCAATAATCCACTGGCCATCTAGGGAGAGGTGAGCAATACCCAGGCCAAAATCAAGTAGTGCATCTTTCATGTTCTGCACTTTATACTTGGTATAGAGTGCAGAAGTGCTTGATGACTGCTCCTGCTTCCTGCCGGCAATGTGGATTTTGAAAAGACAGCTTTCGAATATATCGCTAGGCGCGTTCAGGAGTCGTATCCAGAACTCGACGCCCGGTTCTAGCCTAGATGGGCTATTGACCATATCCATGACGATCTCCTTCTCAAGAATCCAGGTATAGCTACAGATGACATTGTCAGATCGCTTTCATCTTTCTGCTAGCATAACTGAATCTGCTCACCCTTCCCAAAAGGTCATGCTCACGCCAAAGTTCTCCATTGTGCGGCCAAGCGTATGTGCACAAGCCTCATTGATAGCCACTATCCAATCACTTCGAAGTGGGGAATCCACCGGCCACGTTTCGTACCAGATCACAGGCCCTGAAGCCCACTGCTGTACCATCTCTTTAAATGCTACCGGCCTCAATACAAAGCCTTCGCTATCAAGCAATATAGCATAATTGTAGTTGAAGTATGCAGCAGCGGCAAGTTTCTTCACAGACTAATATTTGTATTTCTTAAATCTAAGCAGATCTGTCGTGTCTTCCGGGTTTGTGATATTCTGTATGCTTGGCGGAGCGATATCGTAGAGGTTGTGCAAAGTGATTCTTGGTGGGTTCCTAAGATGTGTCGCTAGGGACGTATTATAATTGAGGTAGTCGGACGCACAGTTCTTCGTGACTGAAGAGTCATCGAGTAGTTTCCTGAGTTCATTGACTTCGTTTGTGGAGCTCAGAATTATCGCAACGTCGATTGTCTCGATATCGGAAACCAAACATGCCATAGAGTGAAGCATGTCGAGTAGCAGAGGGAAGTGAGGACTCTCACTCTTGTCAGCGGATGCCGGAATGAATAAGGAAAATGAAAAGAACCCACGAAAGATGGAATAATTATCTGAAGCTTCATATCATCGCTTGCGGTGACCTTTGGTAGAGAGGGAACTGTATCATTTGCCCATGAGGAAATGAAGAGCAACAAGCTGAAAAAAATCGTGATAGCCAGAGCTCCAATAACTGTCTCAAACCCCCCGCAGTGTCGTTTTCCTTTGAGTCGAGGTGTACCTTCCCGGTATCCGTTATCTCCAAGAAGCAATATATTGGACTGAGCCATTTCGAAAATGATAGAATCTCCAAGAAATGTAAGCTTTGAGGAAATGTATTCAAGTACGAAGATACGAGTAGAAGTGTTGACCCATCAACGCCAAAAATGGTGTCTCGGCTGCCGTCTTCAGCATTCCACTTCCAAGACACCCCGATTACGGCCCCAACATGGCATAATAAGAACTTGCGGCAGCTGGTCAACACGCCACGATGAAAGCTCGCCTCTTGAGCCCTTGCCCTGAAGCCACAGCTAGGTAACTATGTATACTCCCACCTACTGTCCGTCTACCAAGCGTCGCACCCAGAAGACATCGACTCCGCCATTAAAATTGCTTTTACCAAACTCGACTATGACATCACCTTTGGAGCCAAGGACCGCATCTTGAAAGCCCGCTCAAAGTCTCTCGCGGCTCAACTTCTGGCACCAGCCATAGCCGGTTCATGCGCATTGCTCGCCTTCTACGACAACAGCACCAGCATTCTTCGCGTCGCATGCACGGGAGATTCTCGAGCCGTCCTGGGCAGACGAGACGAAAAGACTGGACTCTGGACTTTAGTACCATTGTCGGTCGACCAAGCCGGTGATAATCCTGACGAAGTTACCCGTATCAATGCTACCCACCCCAACGAGGAGTCCGTCATTTCCGATGGACGGGTTCTGGGAAATCTGCAGCCCACCCGTGTCTTTGGCGACGCGGAATACAAGTATCCGCGTGAGGTATCTTTGGGACTGCGAGAAAAGTACAACGCCCGTAATCCCTCCAACCGCCTCCTAACACCACCATACGTTACCGCTGAGCCCGAGATCACCTCGACCCAGATCGAGCCAACTAAAGGCGACTTTGTGGTTATGGCCTCTGACTCACTGTGGGAATGTTTGAGTAACGAGGAGGTGGTCGGACCCGTGGGACTCTGGTTGCAGAAGAACAGAGCCAATGGAAGACCGAAGCAAATTGAATCGACGGGAGGTTCTTCCTGGTCGGCGCAGAAACTGTCCGTAACCCCAACAGCACTTGAAACCTCACGGAAAGCTAACCTTTTACGGGTTCGGCAATGGCAAATCGATCGTAAGGATGACCGATTCGTCGTGGAAGACGACAATATTGCAACACATCTTGTTCGTAATGCATTGGGCGGGCGCAACGAAGACTTGATGAGCAGTCTAATCGCAATGCCACCGCCTAATAACCGTCGATTCAGGTACATAATGACCCAGTCCACCCCGGTCTCTAATATCGACTAACTACCTGTTCCTGCTTTAGGGATGACTTTATAGTTATAGTAATCTTCTTTGGGGATAATAAGATTAGTCCTTTTATAGCAAAGTTATAATATTATTATTATATGAAGTTTGGGAAGAGGTTTGTTTAAACTAGTTTATAATAATAATAATAATAATAATAATAACTTATTATTAAGAAATAAAGAATAAGCCGCTTGTATTTCTAAATTAACTTGAATTTATAAAAAATTAATTCTTTAAAATATAAAAAAGTTATTATATAATTTTTTTTTAATTTTAATAAATAATATAAATAATAAAAGATATAATTATATTATAATATATATATTAATAATATAAGGTATTTATTAGTAGGTAATAAGATAATAGAATAAATTAGTATATTATAAAACTATAGTATTAAATTCAGTATAGAACTAATCTCTGTTCTTCCTATAAGATTCAGGAAAGCCCTCTCTAAATAGAAGGCCCTAATAATATATATATAATTAATAATTTATAAGCCTAATACTTATAATATAAATAGTAGTTAGTTATAAAGTTAAAGAATTACTAATTTCCCTAACTAATACCTGTAATATCCGAGGTTTATTATATGCCCTTAAGTTATATATAATCCTATATATATTATAACTATACCTCTTTTCTAGGATCTTATTCCCAAAATTTATTAATCTATTCTAGTAAATATTTAATTAATTATTTATTTAATTGAGGTAAACTTCTAATATCTTAGAAGGTAGGTTTACTAATATAATCTAGATAATAAATATAAAAATCATTTAATTAGATTAGGGCTAAATAAGTAAGAAGGAAGAGTAATTATACTCCAGATATAGGGGCTAGCTAGTAATCGCGATTTCGTTTGAAATCTGAGTATTCTAATTAGCTTAATCTAAAATACTAAGGCACTATCCTATAAAATTAATATTATATATTAGATCTCGTATTAGAATAATCTAAATAGCTATAGAAAGAATTTAATAAATATTTATATAAGAAACCCATATAAATATTTCTAAGGTCCTAGAGATTATTTATAGGTTCCTGGAAATATATATTAATTAGTTATATTAATTTCCGATTAGAACTAGTATAAAAACTAGTAGTTAATTCAGGTAGTTCTTTATCTCTATAAAAGAACCTTTTTATATTACTATATATTCTCTTTTTTTCTAATAATTATATATATAACTTTTTCTATTATTATTTTCTAATTTCTTCTTTTACCTTTTTCTAAGTTTTCTTTAATTATTTTTAATTAATTTTATAATATCTTTTTCTGGCTTTATTATTTATTTATATAATAATAAGTATAAAGGTAATCTTATAGCCTTTTTTCCTATTACTAGTAAATACTTGAAATATTTCAAGTATTTATTTATTAATTTCTTTGTTTTATATATTATAGTATCTAGTAAGAAGAATTATAATTATTATAATAAGAGTTCTGAGTTTTATATATTAGTAAGTTCTTTAGCTTTAATATTTATTAAAGCTAATATAATTTCAGATTTCTTATTACTTATTAAAGGCTTACTAGTTCTAAAAAGATACTATTATAACTTTTAAGAAATTTCTTAAAATATATTCTAAATAATATTATATTAATAAGAATAATATTATTAATTAGGTTTTTAAAGACTAAAAGAATACTAATAAGCTTCGGAATTCTTTTTCTTATCTTAATAAGGCAAATAATAATATTATTTGAATTAGTATCCTAAAAATAAGTTTTTTCTAATATACTTAGGTATTTACTAATTTCTTAAAAAAATATTATAATATTTATTTTTAAGATATTAACTTTATTACTAAGCTTATTACCGAAATTACTAAGTAATCTATTACTAGTATTTCAAGTACTAATAATATAATATTTATAGCTATTTAGGACCTGATTTTAGAAGTTTGGGCCTTTTATATAATATATATAATTATTATAAATTCCTTATTTACTTCTTTTAATATTCTTAATACTAATATTATTATAATATAATTATATCTTATTAAGAAATAAGCAGATTTTAAAAAATATTAGCCAATTTTTTACTAAGTCTTAAATAGGGCTAGTATTTAGTATTTTTATTTTAGGAATTAGGAATTTATAGAAATTAGAGTTTATTTATTTAAAATACTTATAGCTAATCTATTTATAATAAATCTTTTTCTAATAATTTAAATATAATTCTTATAAGTTTTAATAAAACCCTAGAAAACTTTTATAAGTAAAAAAACTCTAAAAAAAAAGTATTTCTATTATTATTCCGGATCTTTTCTTAGCTATTTAGGTTCTCTTTTTCTTTTAAATAGCCTTTTTCTTAATAGTTTAGAATTCTTTTTAATCTTAAGAGATTATTAAAAAATAATTTCGGATTTTAAATTATAGTTTTAGTTATATAATTTCAGAAATTCCTTGAAATTTTTAAGATTAGAGAAAATAAGTAACTAGGTATTATAGTTTTTAGGCTAAGCTTTTTATTTAATTAAATATTATTATTTCTTGCTTTTATTATCTTATTAGTAATTAATAATAGCTTCTATTTCTTATTCTTATTCTTTATTATTATTTACTAATTCCGGAAGTTCTCTAAAAAAATATAAATATAGCTTCTAATTCTTTTTTAAGAAAAGAAATATAAAAAGTTAGATATAAATAAGTATATATATTTAGTAGTTCTAACTTATATACTAAATTACTAATATATTTAAGGATTCTAAATAGATCTATAAATTTTAGCTTAAGCTTCTTTACCTTAAGTTTAATATTCTTTATTAATAATATTATTTAGGCTTTTTTAAAGTAATATTTAGCTAATTACTATTTATTATAATAGGTTTTCTAGTTATTTTATATATAATATTATAAATTCTTAAGCTTTCTCTATCTTGCTTTAAGGGTTTCTAGCCTTATATATATAACTAGTATTTTTTCTATAATTCTATTCTCAGGATTCTATAGAAATTAAAAATAATATTTTATAAAACCTAATATTTTAAGTTATTATATATAAATTCCATAAAAAATAACTTCTTAAACTAGTTATTTTTTTTAGGTATTATAATAATATCTCAGGTAATATTCTAGGGCCTGGTTTTATCTTTTTATTTAATTATTTATTTAAGAATAATAAGTTATATTCAAATACTATTTATATATTAAATAGAAACAGAAAATAGACTAGAACTAGCTAGTAAATACTATTTTTTAATTATAAATAATTCTATTAGAAAAGCTAAAAATCAAGAAAATATATTTCTATATAATTTTAGTAAGCTTTAGAGAATTAATAGTCTTATAATATATAATTTATTTTATTATTTTAGAGTACTAGTTAATAACTATAAGAATTATATTAAAATCGGGATCTTTTACCGGGTTCTTATATAATAGTAAACCTATAATAAAATCTATAAAAATCTTACTCTAGGATTTCTTAAGCTATAATAAACTACTAAATAAACTATATAATAAATGCCTTTTTATTTTAACTTTCTAGTAAATATTATATTCTTAATAATAATTATAAATATCTCTTTTTATATTTTCCTAATACTAAGACTTTTTAAGAAGCTCAAAAGTCTTCTTTATTCTATAGTATCCTATTATTAAGTTATTATAATAAAGCTTTATAATTTTTAATATAAAATAGAATTATTAAATATAATAATTCTAGAATAGTATTTAAATAAGCCTAAATTATTTTTTTAGATTTCTTTTCTTTTAATATCTTTCTTACTAAGCCTCTATTTTATAATATTCTAATATTAAGAATTATTTCTCTAAGTTACCTAAATAATATCTAGAAAGAATTTAGATAAAAAGGCTAGTACTATAGCTCTTTTAGTAGCTATATATATTTATATATAAGGAATTAGGTATTTATAATTATTTAATTTAAAAACTTAAGAAACTAAGAAATCTTTAGTTCTATTAAGTAATATAGTTATAAATACTCCTATTATCTTAATTATAATAGCAGAGTTTTTAAGGTATTTCTTTATATCTTATTTCTTAACTAATTTTATAATTAAGGAATTTATAAAATAATTTATTTATTTGTCTTATAGTAAATATTTTTTCTTAGCTATTATAGATATAATAAGTATTAAATAATACTTATTCTAAAGAGAAAACCCTTTAAATATCTATAAAAATCTTTCTTTAGCTTATTCTAAAAGATTAGAAGCTAAGTTATATTAATAGAACCTTTTTTATAATTAGGTCTTTTACTAGATCTATTTACTAGGTTTGAGGTACCTCTATAATAAATAATATTAAAATTATATATTATAAGATATATTACCTAATATATTTAATAGCTTTCTAGATATTTTATTTCTATAAAGTATTAGAGATTATTATAATCTATAATAACCTTAATTATAAACCTGGACTTTTTAAGATAATAATACTAATACTTAAAGGCTTTAATAATTATAAGTAGCTTCCTATTATAGGTATTATAATTATATTTGGCTTTAGAAAGTTTCCGGAACTAGAATATTACTAGATACTAGTATTTTTTCGGGCTATTACTAGAATTAACTTATTATAAAATAGTACTAGTAATTATAAATTTTAATATATTAGTTTTAATATAAATCTTTTTAGAAAGATTAAAATAGACTAGAATAGGTATAATAATAAAAGCTTTTTTTAAAGTCTTAAAGCTTTTAGCTACTTTATTTATTTATATAAAGAAACTAGATTTCTGGCTCTTTTCTATTTCTTTTAAGAAATCTATTAAGCCTATAGTTACCGGAAAGTAATAGTAAATAAACCTATAATAGAAATTAGTAAATCTAAGAAATACTTAAATATTATAGAATAATTCTAGTTCTGGTTATTTAATAATATTATAGACCTATTTAAGATCCGTATAAATATTTTCTATTCTAATAAAAAAGCCTAAAAATTCGATTTCCTTAATATTAAACTCGTATTTATTAAGTTTATAAAATAAGTTATTTTTATATAGCCTAGTAAATATCTAGTAAATATAATTATAATATTTATTTTTATTTCGGAAATAAATAAGAATATTATTTAAATAAATAATTATAAAATAATCTAGAAGTCCTATAA